AAACAACCACACTCCCTCTTTCTCCAGAGCAGCCTGTATTTCTCCTGAGGTTATCTGTGGAATTTTTCTTTGTATCCCGAACAATTCTTCTGGCAGTTGTGGCTGCAATCTTTCTTGGGCTGCCTGTACTCGGCTTAGTATCAAGGGATCCCCAAATTTTCCAATTCTTAATAAGTGATTGAACAGTACAGACTGGCATCATCAAGGCTTTGGATATCTTTTTATATCCTTTTCCATCTTTATATAGTTCCATTACCTTGTTATGCAAGTACTTTCACAGTTCACACAAGAGAATAACAAATTCTTTGAAAATTTATACACAGATATTAATTACAATTTAAAAAGCCACAGATGTGCGAAATTAAGCTTTGGCATTTTAACCTGTGTGTGTCACCTTGTGTGTCTATAACAAGGCCAAAGATTCCAGAGTATGTAAACTTTTGATCCGGGCCATTTGGGTGATTTCTGTTATCATTATGATCTTAAATCAAATTCATTTTTTTGGCATGATCAGTCATATTTTTAATATCAATGCCAAAATTTCACGATTTCTGTCAGTATGAAAATATATATATATATATATGTGTGTGTGTGTTACTGACATTCCCCCCATTTCTTGCGCTAATCTTCTTAAAGAGGAGATATATATATATATATATATATATATATATATATCTCCTCTTTAAGAAGATTAGGGCAAGAAATGGGGGGAATGTCAGTAGCACAGTCACAAACAGAGGTCACAACCCCTGAAAGAAAAGAGGGACCCTGTTTAGCAAATAGTATGGAGGGAAAGGACACCACCCTGCCATGCCCACAGTTGAGCTGGCCAAATTTCGATCAGTGTGTAGCCATCCCCGCTTAACAGAAGATGAGTGTTTGATCAACTAATGTCAAAGGGACAAGCTGGAAAATATTTTTCGATCAGTGGCTGCAGCCAATCAGCCGCTGATCAGTGTATTCTAAAAGTGGCAAGTGCTGCTGTCAGAATCCAATGTGTGGGCTTGGGAATCCCTTCAATTACCTCATTTGTGTAGATGGAGGAATCTGTAAGGTATTTTGTGTTCAGCCCGCTGGCTGAATGAAAAGAGAAAGCTATAGTGTATGGCCAGCTTCAGGCAGACCATGAAGCACTAATGTGGAATAAATTACTAGTTAGAGTGGAACGTTATGTAAAAAATAAAAATGTGCAAACGTGAAGAATTTTTAAATGCAGAAGAGACATGTTTTGTCTCTTCTGCATTAAGATTACCTATCTACCCCTGTACAATGAGCTGTGTATGTGCAGCTCACTGTAGAAATTCAACAATGCCGAAGCTGGCACAACTCCTGTGCGTGCATGGAAGTGACGTCATATCGTCCCTGCCAATTAAAGTGGCCAGCAATTGGTACCTTGAGGCCAATTGCTCAATGATGTCAGGACGCCGCATCACTGGACTATAGTTTTGCTTTAATGTATATCTAAAACTAAAACTAAACTTTTGCCCACCTTGGGGAAAGGTTAACTCACCTCCTTCCCATCAGGTTTTTCTTTTTGGTCGTTATCTGATTCAGGAGACATTACAGGAAGTGAGAGGAACTCTCTCCAATGGGAGGGGGCATTCCTTTTGCCAAACAGGCAGGATTTTTAATGCAGAAGAGTCATAATGGGGGAATTTATTAAAACTGGAGCATACAAGATTTGGTTCAGCTCTGCATAGAAACCAATTAGCTTCCAGGTTTTATTGTCAAAGCTTCATTGAAGAAGCTGAAGTTAGAAGCTGATTGGCTACCATGCACAGCTGTACCAGATTCTGAGTGCTCCAGTTTGTGTAGATCTTCCCCGATTCTGTATGTCTCTTCTGCATTAAAGCTCCTTACCTGACTGTATGCTCAGTGTACAGTTGTGGCTATGCCAAGATGACTGTAGCGCATGGGATTGATGACATCTCGGCCTGGCCAATGAAAATGGCCAAAGACCAGTACCTGGGAGACAACTGTCTGAAGATGTCAGCAGTCAGTGGGGAGCTCTGGGACACTGCAGCACTGGAGAGAAGGTGAGTATAGTTCCATTTTAAACATATTGGGAAAATGCAAAGTGTTCTGTGAATGGCACCCATGTCAAGTGAGCATCCTCTTTCCATTGTCAAGTGAGCATCCTCTTTCCATTGTCAAGTGAGCATCCTCCTTCCATTGTCAAGTGAGCATCCTCTTTCCATTGTCAAGTGAGAGCATCCTCCTGCCATTGTCAAGTGAGCATCCTCCTGTTTGATAAGCAGCAGGGCAGCCACTTGGCACAGGACCTGGAAGCCAGTAGAGATCACTGGAGTAGCAATGTGTACTGCAGTGATTTCATCTTCCACGGGGATCCCACAGGTAGGCCACATACATATTTTCCTGGTTCATGCTGTACCGATATAACTATGTAAAGTACCTAAACTTCAGCTTTCAATGAAAAGATTGTCTCCTGCCTGCCCCCACAAAAAAAGCAAACTTTGAGATCAGGTTGGTTGTCATTTCTCACTATGCGATAATGCAGCTATTTCCATTTCACAGGTACACTGATTGGCACCGTGGCCATAGTCCTGCCAGTCTTCATCCATTTACATTGCTGGATTGGTCTGCAGGAGATAAACAGAGGAGCAAAGCCCTGTTTGTATAGATAGTTACACATGTATTCAATTAGGGTCACTCACAAGAGCCTTCCAGGAATTTTATGAAACCAGAAAAAACAAGGGAGGGAACCATTCCCAATCTTATCAGGACTGGGCTTTTCTGAGAAAATTCCCCACCATCTCCACATCTCAGTCATGTAGACTGTAATGGGTTGGTTGTGGTCTGCCCATACGTTGTGATGGTGTGCGGGTCTGCTGTGTATATAATAGCACAGTTGTAGAAGGGAGACGTCTGGCACAAAAAGTTGAATTACAACTGCCCAGATATAAGGGGAACTTCCGTGCAGTCCTTTGATTAATTTTGCTAGTGGGATGGTTTGCTGGTCTGTATGCTTTACCCTCGTGGTGGTTGGTAGTATCTTCTGCAGAAAACCAGGACTCCATATGCAGAACTCCATATGCACTCCATATGTGTCCGTGCGGCCGCTCTTGCCTGCATGTCAGACTTTGACATGCGATTGTGCCTGTGCGGCTGCTCTTCCCAGCATGTCAGACTTTGACAAGCGATTGTGCCTGTGCGGCCGTCTTGCCAGCATGTCAGACTTTTCCAGCGATGTGCCTGTGCGGCCGCTTTGACCAGCATGTCGACTTTGCAAGCGATTGTGCCGTGCGGCCGCTCTTGCCTGCATGTCAAACTTTGGCATGCGATTGAGTCTGTGCGGCAGCTCTTGCCTGCATGTCAGACTTTGACATGCAATTGTGCCTGTGCGGCCGCTCTTGCCTGCATGTCAGACTTTGACATGCGATTGTGTCCGTCTTGCCAGCATGTCTTTCACATGCATGTGTCTGTGCACTGCTACATGTGCTGCATTGGCTGCCTGCATGTAGCCCCGAGGTGGATGCACATGCATCTGCCAGCAGCTGTGCACAGACGACAGGACTACTTGTCCATCTGAATAAGCCCTAGTGCTATTATGTCATTAATGGGGGGGGGGGGAGGTAAACTAGGAAATCATTAGTCTATATTCAAATATCATGGAAACATAAATTGTTTTTATTGTTTGGCAGTGATTTTACTATTGTTTGGAATAACAATTAAAAATTTTTTACACCATTTATACCGTACATGACATTTTTATGTAAATTGCCATAAAAGACCCTCTTACCATTTTTACTAGCTTCTGTATAAAGGCAAAAGGTTCACATAAAAAAGGGCAAATCTCCCCCATTTAGTGCTTTCAAAGCTTTCAGCAAGAACTCTGGAATGTATCTTCATTCTATAATGTTTGCTAAACTTCTTGTAAATTATATTGTATAGGTGACCTGGAGTGACAGTTTTTCTTTTTTAAATTAGCAGCAAAATATAGGGTTAGTCGTTACTGCCACCTAGTGGCTGAAAAAAAGTTTGTGCGATAAAGAAGGGAAGGATTGCATCATACATGTTTTTAATAGCTGACCAATTTATATTAAATGTTTGCACAATGGAAGTATGCTCTATTCACCACCCCCCACAGGCCTGCAACAGGGGTCTATTACTATTTGATTCCATGGACGCTAACGCAAAAAAAAAATAAAGAGTGCTGGTAATGGTGGTTTTTTTAGTAGTGTTCTAGTAGCGGTCAGAGGTGTTTAGGAGTACTGGCATATTAACATTTTTACAGTATATATAGGAGGGGAAAAAAAACAAGTAAAAAGCTGTTAGAAGCGTTTTAGGAGTGTTTAGCTGGGTTTTTTTTTCTGCTGGAAAAACGCTCCAATAAATTTGTTTTTTTAGGTGTTTAACAGTTTTTTCTCTCCTACTAGACACTGACACTCAAAAAATGGTAATAGCCTGAAGTAGTGTGCATGGACACATAGGAAAACATTATTTAGCTTCTAGGAGCAGAAACAAATCTGCTGATAATAACTTCTAGGAGCTTACAAAAACGCTGATGTGTATGGAGCCTCAAACCTACTTGCTGAATCTGTTTGTTATGCTGGACTTGGCTTTGGCACCTGAAACATCCTTACTGTGCTCTTAGCTCTCAACGTACCTTGTTTCAGAGCATTATTTTGCACTCAACTTTTCATTCTTCCACTAAATGAATACATTTGCTATGAGAAATCAGTGCAGCAGAATAACTAGTGGGTTTAAGCAACTATTTTTGCATTTGGTTTCTCCATAGTCTCCTTGGGGGTGTGGCAGGGGTGTGTTCTTTGCCTAAATCCATTGTGGGAAAGGTTGCCTTTTTTTCCCCATCTTAGAAAGTTGAAAGCTATGGAGAATTTCATGTCTGTGTTTTATTAAGTCTTACTTGTATGTCTTTTTTTTTTTTTTTTTTTTGCAGAAATGTAGTTGCCTCACGAGGACAGCGTACAAGAGAACTGGAAAGCGGGTGGAGTCTGTACACATCCGGCCTCCGCAGAATGTATCTCCGCCTCCTCCTGCTGACCCTGCTGACTGGACACTCAACATCTGAAGTTATTCTATGTGAGTGCTTTATAAAAAATATATGATAGCCTAGGGGCCTGGGTTCACATACAGCCCTTTGGCACTTTTTCTGTGACCCACAGGTCCCCTGTAGACACTAATCTGTTTTTCCCTACTGCCCTGTTATAGTAGTGCTTCTAACTGTCTTATGTAATATATCACCTTAAGCTTGTCCCCAGTCTCGCAACCCCTTTAGTCTCTGACAGTCTCCTGTAGCATGTCCGCAGTCTCTGACCATCTCTTGTTATATGTCCGCAGTCTCTGACCATCTCTTGTTATATGTCTGCAGTCTCTGACCATCTCTTCTATTATGTCTGCAGTCTCTGACCATCTCTTCTATTATGTCTGCAGTCTCTGGCCATCTCTTCTATTATGTCTGCAGTCTCTGACCATCTCTTTTATTATGTCTGCAGTCTCTGACCATCTCTTTTATTATGTCCGCAGTCTCTGATCATCTCTTTTATTATGTCCGCAGTCTCTGATCATCTCTTGTATTATGTCCGCAGTCTCTGACCATCTCTTGTATTATGTCCGCAGTCTCTGACCATCTCTTGTATTATGTCCACAGTCTCTGACCATCTCTTGTATTATGTCCGCAGTCTCTGACCATCTCTTGTATTATGTCCGCAGTCTCTGACCATCTCTTTTATTATGTCCGCAGTCTCTGATCATCTCTTTTATTATGTCCGCAATCTCTGACCATCTCTTGTATTATGTCCGCAGTCTCTGACCATCTCTTGTATTATGTCCGCAGTCTCTGACCATCTCTTGTATTATGTCCGCAGTCTCTGACCATCTCTTGTATTATGTCCGCAGTCTCTGACCATCTCTTGTATTATGTCCGCAGTCTCTGACCATCTCTTGTATCATGCCTATAGTCTTTGACTATATACCGTTGTGTGTCTGCTTTCTCTGATTGCTCTGGATATTATGTGTGAACCTTTGGTGACATTGGGGGCCGCACTTGAGACCCCCCCCCCCCCATATCAAGAAAGTTGACAATCACTGGCCTAGGGTATGATAAAAATACTGGATGAGATTGCATAAAACAATACTAGATGGTATAATACAACGTGGCATCATAACTGTAGTTTAACCACCTCAATAGCAGCATGTTACACACCCTTCATTATCTGGCCATTTTTTGTTTTTTAGTGTGTTTGAATAACAATTACTCCGCCATGTAACACTGTATTCAAATGAATTCAATATCATTGTTTTGAGTGGTATGTAATAACCACTGTTTTTTTTCCTATTTTTATAAAGTAAAAACAATACTAAACATTTTGGAGAAAAGTTTCCCTAACTTTCTGCTGTAAAACATATCAAATAAAATTTCCAGGATAGTACAAAAACCCTCCTACCAAAATAGTCCCCTTATTAACTTATGTTTATGCAATTCAGATCATGAGAGCATACACTTACCTCGCTGCTGTGAGCAACACAGATGCTTTCCCGTTTTCCCAGTTTTTAAAAAAGAATTGAGCCACATTTATATATGTTGTATAATTTCCATACAAACCAACTATCTGTTCTATTTTTTCTATATTTGCAGCTATATGTCGCTATGCGCTAGGGATGTATGACCGGACAATTCGTGATGAGGATATCACTGCTTCTAGTCAGTGGTATGAGTCAACTGGACCACAGTTTGCACGGTACGTCCTCTGCTATATACAGTATGTGTAGATACATGCATTGGTGTATTTAGGTTTTGTGCTGCCCTAGGCAACACAAAAATCGTCTGCCCCCACGGACACCGACCAACTCCAACCCCCCCCTTGCCCCTCTCGTGGAGAAAGTCTGACATTGACCAACAACATCCCTGCCTTTCACCTGGGAGAGCCTTCCACTACCCCCGGCCATAGAGAGAAAGACACTCATCTTCATCTTCAGACATCCACAGGAATGAGAGTCAGGCTCTACATACACCATTAAGCAGCTCGCAGCCTCTCTCAGATCCCATTTGGTTCCCATGGAGCATGTGTCCCTTCTTTCATCCCTTCTTCTGGAGGGAGGTGCTTCCCCCCTGAAAAATGCTGCCCTAGGCAAGTGCCTTGTTTGCCTTGTGGTAAAAAAGCCCCTGGATACATGCTTCCTTATATATGATTGCAGCAAAAAAAAAAGTTTTGCCTTTATTTCTTAGGTTCCAATTTAATCATGTGACAAGGTCTCTTTAATGGTTTTGCTATGGGGCCCCACACAATACCAGGATATCAGGGTTTTTTTTATTATTATTATTATACAAAAAAAAAATTCGGTGCTGGAGCAGGTTTTGCAAGGTTTATACTCTCACAGGTTAATACTTTATGGAAAAAAAAAGTTGTAAACACTGCAAAAATGGTTTATGGAGGCCAGCAGTGTGACCTATACTCCATAGGGGCTATGTCACCATTCTCTTCTGTATTGCCTATATTACTATTAACTGCATTCTCAAACTGGACCTATATTCACATTTATTGTAGGCAACAACATGCGACCTAAAGCCTGGGCAGCTTCTATTACATGGTCTTTAGGTATCATGAGCATTGTGGATATTTCACAATATTGGAGACAGTGTCTGCATGTTATTTTTTTCCTTTTTGGCAGTCAGACAGAACCTATTTAGTAGACTCTCATTGTGATTAGAAGATTGGCATTGTGATTAGAGGGATTGGCAAAAGGCCTGCATATGAAATGAAAAAACGTGGCTGTCCATATGTACAGTACATACAATATATAACTATACAGTATACAGTTAGGTCCATATATATTTGGACACAGGCACAATTTACATACTTTTGGCTCTGTATGCCACCAGAATAAACTAAAACAAAACAATCCAAATGAATTTGAAGTGCAGACGTTCAGCTTTAATTCAAGGAGTTGAACATAAATGTCAAGTACAAATTTTAGGAGCTGCAACCATTTTTATACACAGTCCCCTCAATTTTCAGGGGCTCAAATGTAATTGGACAAATTAATATAATCATAAATAAAATGTTAATTTTTAATATTTTGTTGAGAATCCTTTACTGGCAATGACTACCTGAAGTCTGGAACCCATGGACATTACCAAAGACTGGGTTTCCTCCTTTCTGATGCTTTGCCAGGCTCTAGCTGCAGCTATCTTCAGTTGTTCTTTGTTTGTGGGTCTTTCTGCCTTTAGTTTTGCCTCCAGCAAGTGAAATGTATGCTCAATTGGGTTGAGATCAAGTGATTGATTCGGCCATTGCAGAATATTCCACATATTTTCCTTCAAAAGCTCCTGGGTTGCTTTTGCAGTGTGTTTTGGATCATTGTCCATCTGTACTGTGAAGCGCCATCCAATCAACTTTGCTGCATTTGGCTGAATATGGGCTGACAGTATATCTCTAAACACTGCAGAATTCATCCGTCTGCTTCTGTCTTCTGTCACATCATCAGTAAACACTAATGACCCAGTGCCACTGGAAGCCATGCATGCCCATGCCCATCACACTGCCTTCAACATTTTTTACATATGACATTGTGTACTTTGGATCATGAGCTGTTCCAAGCCTTCTCCACACTTTTTTCTTCCCGTCATTCTGGTACAGATTAATCTTAGTTTCATCCATCCAAAGAATGCTTTTCCAGGACTGGTCTGGCTTTTTTAGATGTTTTTTTGGCAAAGCCTAATCTGGCTTTTCTATTCTTCAGGCTTATGAATGGTTTGCACCTTGTGGTGAACCCTCTGTATTTGCTCTCCTGAAGTCTTGATTATAGAATTTGACAATGATATGCCCACCTCCTGGAGAGTGTCCTTCACTTGTCTGGATGTTGTGAATGGGTTTTTCTTTACCATAGAGAAGATCCTGTGATCATCATCCACCACTGTTGTCTTCCGTGGATGTCCATGTATTGCTGAGCTCACCAGTGTGTTCTTCTTTCCTCAAAATGTAGCAAACTGTTGATTTGGCCACTTCTAATGTTGCTGTTTTCTCTCTGGTGGATTTGTTTAGTTTTTGAAGCCTTACAATGGCCTGTGTCACTTGTATGGACAGCTCCTTTGAATGCATGATGATATTCACATCAATAGATTCCAAATGCAAATACCACACTTAGAATCACCTCCAGACCTTTTACCTGCTTAATTGATGAAGAAATAACGAAAGAGTAGCCCACACCTGGCCATAAAACAGCTTTTGGGAAAAAGATTGATTGTGCCTTTAGAACTGCTTTAACTTCAAGAGTAAAGATATATTCTCTTTTTCTTCTACAGGCTTCAACGGGAGGAAGGCGATGGAGCTTGGTGCCCCGCGGGTTTGCTTCAGCCCGAAGATGTCCAGTTCTTACAGATACATCTACACAAACTGTATTTCATTACACTGATTGGAACTCAAGGACGTCATGCTCGGGCTACCGGTAAAGAGTTTGCTAGATCCTACCGTGTGGACTACAGTCGAAATGGAGATAGGTGGCTTTCATGGAAAGACCACCAAGGCCAGCAGGTGAGATGTATGGTACTATTACAAGCAGAAAGATCGTATTCTTTAATTACACATAAATTCTGATTTAGCCCTGGTTCACATCTGTGCGGTCGTGCGGGCTGCGATTTGCTGGGGCAGGAGAGCCCGTTCATTTGAATGGACTCTTGTCTCCCGGGACACACAGGAAGAAGTCCCTGCACTACTTGGGAAATCGCAGCCTGCACGGGAACAGAGGTTCCCAGTACGGTTGTGATTTCCAGTGCGGGCAGCATGCCATTAGAATTAATGGCACCCGCCTGTGTGTCCTACATTCCTCTGTGTGGGTGGCGCAGCTGCAGGCATTTGTGCGGGTCTCGCAGCTGCACCACCTGCACTGATGTGAACCGAAGTTTGGAGCACATTCATACCAAATTGCAGTAAACGCACTGCCCTTGTGACACAGACGTGGATGCCAATAAATTGTTAATAGCACCCCAAATGCAGCAGTTTGTTGCAGTGCAATCTGAAAAAGTCCAGTGCATTTTGCAGACCATTTGAATGGGCTGTCAAAACCGGACAACCCAAATTAACACCTTGAAATGTAAACTGTTGTAATGGAACTGTATGGTGATATAAGATGAACTACACACCATGGGCACCTTTGCCACTTTTAGATGCAGCCTTGTCCATTAATATGAGACATTTAGGGGTATGTAAACCCTAACAATAAACTTCTCTTATTTGGCTTTGGCTTGTTATGCCTGTTATGTTTGGCATGCAGTTGAAAGTATTTTGGTATACAGTATCTGTTCAATAGATGTGTTTTGTTATAACTGTTGATCCTGCCAGAAACTCTGTCATCTGATAGCTTCCTGTGCTCTCCGCCTGTGCTACAGTCTTATACGTTACATAACTCCCAGTTTATTCTAGGGACTTCAAAACCACTGTTTTCTATGTTATGGAGAAAAGGTGGATGTAGTCCTTCCTAGGGTGACAGTGATGCTTCTCCTTAAATACAGAGAAGTGAGGAAGCGTTGTCACTCCAAGACAGGGAGTGTGTTACTGGCATGATCACTAAGTGAAAATAAAGGAAAAAAAAAGCTTGAACAAAGAAAAACAAATGCAGCCATCACATCTAAGGACTGGTAAGCTGCAGTGTAATACATTTTTGTTCTTTCATTTAGACACACTTTATTGCTATATGTGTAATATGAACACCTGTAGTGATATGTCTTTGGCATATGAGATAGAAGATTGTGATCAGGAAAGCCTTTATTTTTTTCATTTACATTACTGAGAGCATAAATCTTTATACTACAGGAACTAAAGACAAGCTGTATATATTATTCAAAAATACATTTAGGAGCAGTTAGATAAATCTAGAATAGAATCACCCTTTAAAGATTTCTTTAAATCTTTATCTAGATTAAAGAGGTAGTAAAGAGCAGCTAAAGAAAAAAAATCCCCTGCAAGGTGAGTGGTTCAGCTACCCTAAGTAAGATCCATTATTTGGAAGATCTTTATTTGCTCCTTTGGTGATCTGGAGGAGGATTCAAGTGACCGGCTTTCTAGGTTGTTTAACAAAGTGCGATTGACCATTCTTAACAGGGAGTCATGCCTTTCTGGTAAGCCTTTTGAATGGTTGGTGACACAACAACTGTCCTTGAATTTTCTTTGTTTCATCACAGTCTCTGGGACTTTTCTTTATCTTTAGATGGACTATTTTTGACACATTTTTCACTGTTTTCTTATAATCATTTGTCACTTTTTAAGCGCTGCACTTTTATGTATATAATAGGAGTTGAATAACTAACCCAATCAGACAGTCTGCTAATTATCAAAGCAAATCTGCAACCTTTGTCAAATTCCGTTTTTTTATTGCCACTTTAGGCAGTAGAATTCGGGGTTATAAAGGAAAAACAAACTGGCTGCAGAAGCAAAGGTACCCAGGGGGATCTTCCCAATTACCCATGGGCCTATATGATGACCAAAACAAAGACCACAACTAACTAAAGTATGCCTGATAAAGCCTATGAATCAACTATGTCTACTATATTAATCATTCATGGTGTATGACAGATCTGTGCTTTGGCCAACTTAACTGTTATCTTAACATAGGATTACAGATGTGTTAGTAGCCTTGTAGACCCTGAAGACACAGCTAGTAAAGTCCATAGCTTCCCATATGGCCCCTTAAACTACAATATGCATCGTCATCTTTCTCTCAACAATACGATTAGCTGAGCAAGACCCATGACAATTCTGTGGTGCCTGTGTAGGTACAATGTCTTCTCAAAGGGTACACCTCATTCTTCTGTTACGCACACCATTGACCATTCCTCAGCTATGTAGGTTAAATATGAAACAAACACTGCGCACAGCTTTCAAAAATATTATCCAAACTACTGCATCTTGAGCGATTTCTATAACCGTAGAAAGGCCCTGAACCATCAACGCTGTAAAGTGGAGACTGATCTGTCATGTATCCTTGGCATAACTTCTGATAATTCTCATCAAGCCAAATTGAATGATGACCTTGCTTATTTGTGAGTAACCAGCTAACTGAATTTCCCAATAGTAATTTTATTTCTTCACAAATAATGCATTTCAGATGAGTTAGAATCCTTGAAAATCCTGATGGCACAGCTAGTAAAGTCTAAAACTTCCTATTTGGCCCCTCAAACCACAACATGCATGGTCATCTTGCTCTCAGCAATACAGATTAGCTGAGCAAGACCCATGACATTTCTGTGATGCTCACGTAGGGAACAATGCCTTCTTCTCAAAGGGTACACCTCATTCTTCTGTTGCGCACAGCATTGATCATTCCTCAGTCATGTAGGTTAAATGAGAAACAAACACTGCGCACAACTTTTCAAAAATAATATCCAAACTACGACATCTTTTCTGATTTCTATAACCGCAGAAAGGCCCTGAATTGTCATTGCTGTATAGTGGAGACTGATCTCTCACATATCCTTGACATAACTTCTGATAATTCTCATTAAGTCAAATTGAATGATGACCTTGCTTGTTTGTGAGTAACCATTTAACTGAAATTCTCAATGAAAATGTTTATTTCTTTACACAAAATACATCTCTGATGGAGAGGGATTGCCATTAGATGTGTGGAGGGAAATAAATAGAAATGACTGTCAATAAACAACTGAGAGATAGATAGCTACAGCTGTGCTCAAAAGTTTGCTCACCCTGGCAGAAAATGTGAAATTTTGGCATTGATATTTAAAATATGACTGAACATGCAAAAAACTTATTTAAGGATAGTGATCATATGAAGTGGTTTATTATCACATAGTTTTTGGCTCCTTTTTTAAACCATAATGATAAAAGAAATCACCCAAATAGCCCTGATCAAAAGTTTACATTACCTGGAATGTTTGGCCTTGGTACAGACACACAAGGTGACACACACACAGGTTAAAATGGCAATTAAAGGTTAATTTCCTACATCTGTGGCTTTTTAAATTGCAATTATTGTCTGTGTATAAATGATCAATGAGTGTATTAGCTCTCACGTGGATGCACTGAGTTGGCTAGATACTGAAAAGACCTAGGTAACAAGGTAATGGAACTTTATAAAGATGGAAAAGGACATAAAAAGATGTCCAAAGCCTTGAATATGCCAGTCAGTACTGTTAAATCACTTATTAAGAAGAGGAAAATTCGGGGATCTCTTGATACCAAGCCAAGGCCAGTATAACATCAGGAGAACACAGGCTGCTCTGGAAAAAACTGTGTGTTCCTTTTCAAAGAGCACAATACAATGATACTTGAACAAAAAGGAGCTGCATGGGCAAGTTGACAAAAAGAAGCCTGCACTGCACCAATGACACAAAAAAACCCAGTTACAGTATGCCTGACAGTGCCTTGACACGCATCACAGCTTCTGGCACCCTGTGACGGTCTGCAGTGACGGAGACCAAAATAGAGCTTTATGGTCACAACCATAAGCACTATGTTTGGAGAAGAGTCAACAAAGTCTATAGCGGCAAGAACACCACCCTCACTGTAAAACATGGTGGCTGCTCACAGATGTTTTGGGGGTGTATGAAATCTAAAGGCATGGGGAATCTTGTAAAATTTGATGGCAAAATTATTGCAGCATGTTATCATAAAATACTGGCAGACAATTTGCAATCTTCTGCACGTAAGCTGTGCATGGGACACTCTTAGACTTTCCAGAAAAACAATGACCCTAAACATAAGACCAAGTTGACCTTCCAGTGGTTACAGCAGAAAAGGATGAAGGTTCTAGAGTGGTCATCACAGTCTCCTGACCTTAATATCATCAAGCCTCTCTGGGGAGATCTCAAATGTGCGGTTCATGCAAGACAACGAAAGACTTTGCATGAACTGGAGGCATTTTGCCAAGACGAATAGCCAGCTATATCACCTGCAAGAATTCGGGGCATCATAGACAACTATTACAAAAGACACACTGTCACTGCACACTGTCATTGATGCTAAAGGGGGCAATACACAGTATTGAGACTAAGGGTATGCAGACCTTTGAACAGGGGTCATTTCATTTGTTTTATGTTTGTGCCATTCTGTTATGACCTACAGTTGAATATGAATCCCATAAGAAATAAAGGAATGTGTTTTGCCTGCTTACTTATGTTATTTTGTAAATATTACTGTATATTACCAATTCTCCAAGGGTATGCAAACTTTTGAGCACAACTGTAGATAGATAATATAAATATCACCTGTGTCTTTTGTTCCCAGATAATCAAAGGCAATGTTGATGAATATGAAGTAGTCCTGAACGACCTAAGACCCCCAATTATTGCCAGTCACATCCGAGTCATCCCTGTCACCAAGGTCCCCATGACAGTGTGTATGAGGGTGGAACTGTACGGCTGCGCCTGGTATGGTAAGTAGAAACACATTTGTACTAGATATAAGCCATTAAAGTAAATATGTTTTTTTTATCACTTTCATTTACTGTTAAAGAAAAAGCTTACAAGTTTAAAAATAATATTTTGGATGTTTTTTAATTATTTAAAAAAATTATTTCATTAACTACACACTAATTGCAGGGTGTATACATGATACCCAATTACAAAAGAAAGTCCAACACAATACATGGAATATTTGTATACAGTGTTTCTTATACAGTATACCTGACTACAAAAACACAACAGCCATTAGCACAGTGTCTGGTGTTAATTCACCTGTCCTTTTTATAATTGCAGCTGCCAAATTAAAACATAAAACTGCCGACATTCCCCCTCTCCATGCTGCTCTGTTCACTTGCCATTAGATGAAAGTAGGAGAATATTCTAGCGCTGGAATATGTTTTAGGATTCCTGCTTTTCACACAAGCCAATCTTCCCCAGCTCTGCTAATGTGCACCACCGTCCTGTGTCCACAAACCTGGAGAAACTAGACTATAGAAATGGTGCCATGCAGGAAGGCTTTTAGTGGAACAGTTGATGCAATCAATGGTTAAGTACAATGTGGGAAAAAGCAGTTATCTTGCATTCTCTTAAATAGACTCTAAAGTAGGGTACACACTATGAGAAAATCAGAAGAAAAGAAACAAGATCTTTAGCTTTTTGTATAGTGTGTACGCAACTTTCGACATCCGATTCAGACTCTCCAAATGAACATTTCCGAAGGGGCAAGCTCTAAAATTTTTCTTGATCTAACAATTTTCATTTAATGTGTACTGTTTTTGTATGTTTTTTGTATGAGAAAATTGGGATATGAAAGACTGTGCATGATGAGAAACAATAAACAAAAAATAAGCCTTTGTCGTTTGATAATTTTTGTAAAATTAGTACTATCCTCTGTTTCGACATGCAGTAAAACATCGAGGAAAACCAGACGATTGTTCATCCGATTTTCTTATACTGTGTATTGGGCTTTAATGTAATCAACTTGATGAAACAAGTAGATGCAGCTAATTTGAGTAGAGGGTTAATATTCGAGCTATAATGGAAAATGCATATGATTTAACTTGATGGTTTCTTAGTCTAGTCTGATTTTCTAGCATGCTAAAAAAACTTCTGCTATAACCTATTGAGTGTTCCCTTTGCCCCACACAAGAAAGGCCTGCTCACTGTGCATAAGTTGTATGAACTGTATGATGAATGATGAGCACCAGCCATGCATAGCTCAACCTTTGGCAGACAGATCTATTTCAATGAAAGTTTTCATTCAGATTTTTTAAAAGGAATTCAATTATTTTGTTCCAGATGGTCTGAAGTCCTACAGTATTCCAGAAGGAGAGACCTATATGGCTCCAGGACATCCAATAGCATATTTAAATGATTCCACCTATGATGGATACCTGGAGAAGAGGTACGCCAGCTTGTTGACAATTGAGATTTAAAGAGCCAAACTCAAACCAAACTTTTTAATTCTGGATAAAGTAGGGAGGGAAAATAGTCTTTGCCAGTAATTTATTTTTGACTGTGCCTCTGTTGGGGATTTATTCTCTCGCCAATGGGGAGACGTAGACAAAAACATTTTTGTAATGTTGGGGAAGATTTGGAACTTCTGATAATGCTTTTTTTTGCTGTCTGTGACCTCCTGCCCTGTTGACTTAAAGGAGAAAAATCCCCCCAGTAGGGACAAAGAAAGATGTGAAATGCTACCATAATAACTAAACACAGGGTAATGTTTCCACACAATCTGGCAGATATATTCATGCATGCCTTGGCATTTGACTTACATCAACTATAGATAATTATATTGCACTCATTCCACTTCAGCAGATTTATTGATCAGTATTGTACAGCCCCTCAATTTATGTGGTAGAATTGCTCCTATTAAAGCACAATTTATTGTGTTGAGACAAAGAGGACTTTTTGATGGATACATGGCCTTGGTCCAATTTAAATGCTTTTAGTACTGTGTGCCACTATGTTTTAGGCTTTTTTTCTTGGTTTTTGTATCTGATACAATAAAGTACAACATTTTTTTAGTAAGAATTGTGTAGGGATATTTCTAAAATTTCACTTTCCCAATGTTTCCTTGTAATACAGAATTAAAACCTGGACAACTTTTACTTACCCCAAACTTGAAAAATATTTTTGACTGGAGTTAGGCTTTAGCTAGTTGAGGACATTGGGTGTACTATACACAACCCAAAAAAAATTCACAGTGTAAGTAGTATGCCCTGTCCTTCTGTCCGTGCTTGCCGGCAATTGCAATTGTGAAATGATAGCCCAGAGTTGTAAATGCAGTAGCTGTAGAAGCTGATGCTGTAAAAAATGGACCATCTGACACTGAGTTTACAAACACTGTTCAGGTACATAGAAAGATAGAAAGTAACATTGTTACTTTTATATTTAATCTGCTTTATTTATCTGCAGATCAAATAGATGAGATTCAATCTATATATGATGTCAGTTAAGGTAACCTGACAAGTTAAAAAAAAAAAAACACAACTTTTTTTTTTTGTTCCTTCTTGTGTTCTTTTCTTAACCCACTAATAACCCTTAATGTAACATATTCAGCCCTAAACAAATCATTCTTCCCTTTCTCACCTAAACCATTTTTTGCCTGCTGAATTGTTTTTCATTTCTAATTTAATTTTTTTCATTTTGTTAATTATTTTAATGTGGAAAAATTGTAAGAAAAAAATGCTCTTTTATTTGTGAGCAACTATGTAATGCTTTGCACCACAATCATAATTGTAGTGTTTAACACTATTTTTCTTTAAACTAATACTGTTCAAAACAAAAAAAAGAGCTTCAGTTTGTTTTAGTTTTTTTTTACAGTATGTTTTTTTGTTTAACGCAATATAGATTGCGTTAAAAAAATAAATTCATTTTTGCAAGACAACAATATAAGAAAAAGACATATATATATATATATATATATATATATATATATATATATATATATATATATATATATATATTTGCTTTGTTATCTTAAGTAATGACAACACTATTGACAAATCGATAGACACATAGCATAATTGTGAAAGTTGTTCAGGTCTGTAGAGGCTGTACCTATGATAACTGAAGAAGTCAAAAATAATCATGATATGACTAAATAAATAATTGTCTCCTTCCAAATTCATGAACTAGTTAGTTATTTTTTTTACTACACATTTTTTGACAAAAATTACCATTTTCAGAATCACTTCTTTTCTGTAGGAAAAGGGAGTTTGAATTCAACACCTGAAGTCGCTCCTTAATTTTCTAACTATGCTAGCTGGCTGAGAAAGACCTGTCAACTGTATTAGATGGCCTAAAATGGACACAGTAGACCATATTCTCATCAAAAAGGCTGTTTCTATAGTAAGAGATACCTGTGTATTTTTTTAAATTTAGAAAATGGCAATACTTGCATCAAACAGAATAATGAATAAGATATTTTAAGAACACAGGTCTCCAAGTACAGAAATTGTGGTGCTCATCAGATCTTAGTGGTCATTATCAAAGGATATACAATGAACACACACTTCTGATTGGATAATGCTATTACCCTACTATGAAACAAATATGCCTTCCTGCAGGGCATCTTTATCCAAAATCTTATTCAAAACCTACCTCCAATATCTCATGTGCTTAAAAATGTAGGCGGCTGTTTGACGGTTTGGGGCAGCTGACGGATGGCGTGCTAGGGTTAGACGACTTCACGCAGAGCCACCAGTATCGCGTTTGGCCAGGCTACGATTATGTCGGCTGGAAAAATGAAAGCACACGCAATGGATATGTAGAGGTTGAGTTCCAGTTTGATAGACCAAGAAACTTCACTTCTATGAAGGTAAGACCTCAACTTACCTCTTTGAACTACCAACATTTATATCAATTGCCTTGTTTATTCAATATATCTGGATTAGGAATGTATTGCTCACAGCAGCCATTGAAAGATTTCTGTTTTCATTCTCACAGTTCAGATTCAGAAAGTGATAGAAATTGTCTGTTTCTCTCAGCAATATAGCCATTTCTTTGATAGTAAGGGCCTTTGAAATGAAATATTAGTCAACTTGGTTTAATTATAAAAGGGTTAGTCCATCGAAAACTAATATTTCAGTGTTTGGTGTATACTGGAGAATTATGCTACCTGACAGTGGGATCTATCTCTTGAGGCCTTTATTGGTGAGATCCCTGTGTCTGTTCTTGGTTCCCAGGTTGGCACTCTTACTGTGGCCTTTATGAAGTGTTTCCACTCTCCTCGCTGGACTATAATATAAATCAACATACATCCTTATTATTTTTTTTTTTATTAAAATGTTGATTACATTTAATGGCCCATAGTCACAAAGCCAAAATGAATGATGACATATCTTTTTTCACAGGTCCACTGTAACAACAAGTTCACTAAAGGGGTGAAGATTTTCCAGAGGGCCGAGTGCCTCTTTAAATCACGTCAACAATCTGACTGGGAGCCAGAGTCAGTGGGGGTGGTGACCGTGCTGGATGACAAGAACCCAAGTTCACGGTTTGTCATAATCCCATTACAGCAACGAGTGGGGAGCTTCATCCTCTGTAGGTTTTACTTCGCCGACACATGGATGATGTTCAGCGAGATCTCTTTTCAGTCAGGTAATGCATTGCTAACCATTATGTGTAAACTCCTACAGTTCTGCAGGGGATCAGGCCTCAAAATTTTATTTAGATAAAATTAAAAAAATGCTAATAAAAAAAAATTCACCAGTTATTGAAATCCATTGTGTAATTTTATTGATCATCTTACTGTTTTACAGATATGGACATTGCGGTGCCCACCAGTGTCACTCTGGCTCCTACTACTGTCCGGGCAGCCACCACTGAGATTCCATTGCTTAATGCTACTGAGAGAAATTTGGGTAATTGTTAAACACTCTGGGATCTGTCTATGGTCCTCTCTAGGACAAGCAGAAACTTCTAATTTCGTCTTTAAGCTGCTTAGGCAAAGTTTCCATTAAAAAATTATTAATTTTTCGCCTTGCCTAAAGCTGTGCTTAAAAAGTGTTTAAGTGTTTTGTGTTTTTTTTTATTGTGTGTGTATTTGATCATTAAAGTGGTTTCATGCATTCAAAGAAGGTAAAAAACCTTCTGTGTGCATCACCACCCCAGCCCCTCATTACCTACCTGAACTCCTTCTTGATCCAGTGATTTGCACGAGAGTCTCAGCTGTCCCAGGTCTCCCTCCTCATTGGTGAGACAGCAGCGGGAGCCATTGGCTCCCACTACTATCAATCATAGTCAGTGAACCAATGAGGAGAGAGCAGGAGGCAGCAGCTCAGAAGTGTGCCTGCCCAGGTGGCCCTATAGCAATCTGCTTGCTGTGTGGCCACTTTGGCAGGAGGGAGGGGCCAGGACTGCCGGCGGGGAACACAGCAAGAGGATGATCAGGGCTGCTCTGTGCCTTTACAATCACTTTAATTGAACTATCACTTTAAATTTTTCATTTTAAATTATTAAATTTTCTATTATTTTTGCAATAAAAAAAAACGATTAAATTAGAAGACTAACAAGGGTTTTTTTTGGCAAGAAAAATTCCTTGATAGTTGAAAGGATCTTCCATAATCCTCGGAAGCCATTTAAAGCCCACTGCACTCGTAAACCCATCAAAAATCATTTTAATTTCACCTTCCCAACTGAGCTAATAAAATCTTCACTGAATTTTCAGGACAAAGAAAACTCAAAATTTTTCTCAATCCCTTTTACTATTCAAGTACCTAATTGTGGCCTTCCCCAGTAAAATGTCTCTGACTTTCCAAACTCTGACCTCCAATACTCATGTGTTTAATAAAGGCTTTGAGCAATCAGATGACTGGCCTTCAACAATCAATCAAAAGCCTGGCTATTTCCTTTAATAATCAATTCCCTCTGATCTTTCATAGTACCATTGCTATGACCTTCATCAATGAAGTGAACATTACTACCTTCAAAATAACCAACTAATACCTTTGACAATAAAATGCCTATTGATGACCCTCAGCTCATACGACCACCTTGTGTTTAACTACAACCTTTATCACTCAGGCGTCTAAAAGAAATGTAAACCAAAATAGGCTACAACCCTCTTAATGAATAAGGTCCAAATGAATCTTTCTAAGCCATACATTGATCTACCCCCTTCTTGATTGCAATTTCCCACTGAAGTCTAAGGTAATAGCTTATATTTAAAACTTGACTCTATCCATTTTTTTAAATTTTGCTTAAATTGGGGAAATATTCTAATAGGTATTTATTTTTATTCATGACCCTATTAGCTAGATTTTTGCTCACTTCCTGCCCCTTTGACACTGAGACTGCTAAAAGAATGATTGTTATCGGGACAGAAAGGCAAAACACATCATTAGAAGTTTTAACAGCCAAAAAAAAAAAAGAAGAGTTGGTCTTAAAATCAATTACTTTGCTCAATGTAGCCCTTCTTACTGACAGCATTTCTTTATGTTTGTTGTGTAAGACATGGTAATAAATTGGAGCTCCACTGCCCACCCCCTTCAATACTTTATTAATACGTCCCTTTGTCTCTTTTTTTTTTCCCCAGAAACCACTTTCCCGTTCACCATCAGCCGACCAGTGGTCAAACACGATGAGCCTAAAACATCTGTTCTGATTGGCTGTTTGGTGGCCATAATTCTTTTGCTTGTTGTTATAATAGTTTTGATCCTGTGGAAGCAATACATACAGAAGCGGCTGGAAAAGGTAAACAAAAAACACAGCTTTGAGTTTATTAAACTGTCGATAAATGTGACATGGAATTTAATTAAAGCATATTTTTATTCAGTAATTTTAACCACATAATTACTAAATAACAACTTTGACCAAAATTACCGTTTTCTGTAAAATATTGTTTATCTGCTAGGTATTTGAGCAACCGTTTGGCAATAAAAAGCTACTCAAAAATATCTTTTTACTTAAATGAACATGCATCTTTTAATACACTACTCAAAAAATTAAAGAAACATTTTTTAATCAGAGTATAGAATCAAGTCAATTAAACTTCTGGGATATTGATCTGGTCAGCCAAGTAGCAGAGGGGGTTGTTAATCAGTTTCAGCTGCTTTGGCATTAGGGAAACTAACAACAGGTGCACTAGATGGGCAACAATGAGACGATTCCCAAAACAGGAATGGTTTTACAGGTGGAGGCCACTGACATTTTTTTCCCTACTCATCTTTTCTGACTGTTTTTCACTAGTTTTGCAGTTGGCTAGGGTCAGTTTCACTACTGGTAGCATAAGGCGATCCCTGGACCCTACAGAGGTTGCACAAGCAGTCCAACTCCTCCAGGATGACACATCAATATGTGCCATTGCCAGAAGGTTTGCTGTGTCTCTCAGCACAGTCTCAAGAGCATGGAGGAGATTCCAGGAGACAGGCAGTTACTCTAGAAGAGCTGGACAGGCCTGAAGAAGATCCTTAACCCTTCAACAGGACCGGTATCTGTTCCTTTGTGCAAGGAGGAACAGGATGAGCACTGCCAGAGCCCTACAAAATGACCTCCAGCAGGTCACTGGTGTGAATGTCTCTGACCAAACAAGCAGAAACAGACTTCATGAGGGTGGCCTGAGGTCCCAACATCCTCTAGTGGGCCCTGTGCTCACTGCGCGGCACCATAGAGCTGGATTGGCATTTGCCATTGAACAGAATTGGCAGGTCCACCACTGGCGCCCTGTGCTTTTCACAGATGAGAGCAGGTTCACTCTGAGCACGTGACAGACGTGAAAGGGTCTGGAGAAGCCATGGAGAACATTATGCTGCCTGTAATATCATTCAGCATGACCGTTTTGGTGGTGGGTCAGTGATGGTCTGGGGAGGCATATCCATGGAGGCACACACAGACCTCTATAAACTAGACAATGGCACCCTGACTGCTATTAGGTATCGGGATGAAATCCTTGGACTCATTGTCAGACTGTATGCTGGTGTAGTGGGTCCTGGGTTCCTCCTGGTGCACCACAATGCCTGGGCTCATGTGGCAAGAGTATGCAGGTGGTTCCTGGAGGATGAAGGAATTGATACCGATGATTGGCCCCCACACTCGCCTAACCTAAATCCAATAGAACACCTCTGGGATATTATGTTTTTATCCATTCGACGCTACCAGGTTGCACCTCAGACTGTCCAGGAGCTCAGTGATGCCCTGGTCCAGATCTGGGAGGAAATTCCTTAGGAAACCATCCGTCGTCTCATTAGGAGCATGCCCCAATGTTGTCAGGCATGCATATAAACACGTGGAGGCCATACAAACTACTGAGATGCCTGCTGCATCACTTTTTCACTTTGATTTTTGGAGTGTCTTTGAATTCAGTCCTCTGTTGGTTGATCATTTTCATTTCCATCAAACAATGGGGCATCCTTACATTCCTAACACATTACCCAGTCCATATCAGTATAGATATCCAGCATGAGATTTTTCCCATTGAGATCTGATGTGTTTTCAAAGTGTTCCTGTAATTTTTTTGAGCAGTGTATATTTTGGAAAGGTCCTTCTGTATAGGAAGAACTGATATACTTTGACTTTCTAGGCTCCACGTCGGATTCTGGAAGAAGATGCCACTGTTCGCCTTTCCTTCTACAGTTACACTATTGGCAACAACAACCAGACTCAAATCCATCAGTCCAACCCAACATATGAAAGGATATTCCCTCTAGATCTTGACTACCAGCAACCCACCAAACCACTGCGCAAGCTTCCTGAACTATCACAGAGTGCTGAGGATTCAGGTAAGAGAAATGGCTGCCACTGATGCCTAAGTGGGTCCCCTCTCCACAACTTTGCCTGCTAATGAGTGAAATCATGGTATCCCTGCTGACAGAGCAGCATTGCCTGAAATCTGCTTTTTCATAAAACGTTTGCAGCATTTTCCTGATTACATCAGCCTGATACTATGAATATCTAAAAGTTTCTGACCAAAATAATTCCCCCTCTTGTCACAAAGGCATTAATTGATATTTGATTGACATTATAAAATGTGTTCCCAGCTTGCAGCGGAGACTATGCTGAGCCAGATCTGACCAAGTCCACCCCACACCAGGGATTTCAGAACAGCGTTCCTCACTATGCAGAAACAGATATTGTCAATCTTCAAGGGGTGACCGGAAACAACATGTACGCTGTGCCTGCCCTGACTGTGGACTCACTCACTAAGAAGGACATCAGTGTTGGTGAATTCCCACGCAACCAGTTACGGATGAAAGAGAAACTTGGCGAGGGTCAGTTTGGAGAGGTACGTTGACCAATTAAGTCCTTCTCTTTGCCCCTTTAGATCATTGCTTTGAGCTCTGCTTGGTACACAGTGGATGGAACTCAGACACATTTTAAAAGGAGTTTTACTTGAAAAAAATTATTTAATAAGAAAAGGTTTAAATCAATTTTTAAATTTGTTTTAGAAAATTTCAATGAATAATTTTTCCATTACTACCTTATGCATTAGGACACTTCACAGCTTCAAGAAAACTCTGTAGCCCTCCACCCTCAACACACTGGTTACTTGCCCTTGTATTATAGTACTATGCTTTCCTGAATGGGTATAAAATGTTTTTAAATACACAAATGTGACCCACAACTCCACGTTTTGCTACTACAGTGGCTTCATCTGTAATAAAATAAAGTGCAAGACCAAAGAGATGAAGTGCACACCATAATGTGCCAAACAAACATAAATGCCAACCATTTTCGGGAATTTCTACCCACCCGCGTTTAAAACCATTTTATGTAAATCCCAACTGTTTATGCTCAGCCAATGAGGATGTTTAAATTGGGAGAAGTGCTTTCAATACCTCCCTCCTCTGTTCATTACTATTGAAAAGTGGGATGTGGCAATTTCAACCGTTGGAGTTCAATCGTTCATTGAACTACATTGGAGTCCAGTGGATGGGAAATCATAAAAAGCTTCTGAATGGGAGGGACAGGGTGCTAATTTTCAAATCTTTTCCCCTTTTCCTCCTTTATGAGTGCATATGTTCATGAAGGAAGAGGCAACTAATAAGATACCTACTGTAGGTAGTAATGGCCTAAAGCAGTGGTTCTCAACCTTCCTAATGCCGCGACCCTTTAATACAGTTCCTCATGTTGTGGTGATTCCCAACCATAAAATTATTTACCCAGTAATTATAATTCATGAAGTGTCGTTTTACCTCCAATACTGCTGCTTTCTACACAGTAGCTGCTTTCTACACAGTAGTTGCTTTCTACACAGTAGCTGCTTTCTACACAGTAGCTGCTCATTACACATCGGAAATATGTGTTTTCCCCGATGGTCTTAGGCGACCCCTGTGAAAGGGTCATTTGACCCCCAAAGGGGTCGCGACCCACAGGTTGAGAACCACTGCCCTAAGGGGATACAGCACCCATATATCAACATCGTAAAGGGGTATTCTGTCTGTCTATCTATCTATCTATGTTTTCCCAATACACAATTGGTGCAATATTGTCATCACTTTAGAGAGATTCTGAACTGACAAGATCGTTTACTTTTTTTATTTGCCATATGTATATAAGACTAAAGGTCATGACCAGACACAAAATGCCGAAAATTAATTAAGGATAAAGGCCACCAATAGCAGGCTTACTGCTTAACGACCTTAGACACTGAAATACATTTTTGAAAGTGTTTTTCTTTTAAATTAAAAAAAAGGATACTTATCACCAAAGAAATACATAGGCAGCTATTGGTTACCTGCTTGCATGCCACAGTGCATGTAAAGCCAACATGATTAAAAAAATGATTAAGATGACAGTTTTTGTTCTGTCTATGTTCCATCACTTCCTGTCCCAAAGACAATGCAGGTATTAAAGGGGATCTTTCTCCAAAGGGATAGGATTGTCCCTGTTAGAGAGTTGTCACTACAGTGGTACCTCGGTTTACAAATTTAATGCGTTCTCCGGGACGGTTTGTATTGCAAAAAATTTTGTAAACCGAAACGCAGTTTCCCATAGGAATACATTGAAAAACACCTCCACACTCGACGCCATGTGCTACCCACAGACTACCCACAGACTCCAGCTTCGCGGGGGCAGCGCTATAAACCTCCTAGGTGCAATGCATCCTGGGGAACTTGCTTCGTATTGTGAAAAAAATTTGTAAACCAAGGCATTATTTTCAATGGATTTTCATTCGTAAACCAAAAATTACATTAACCGAGGAGTTCGTAAACCAGTTTCTCCCTTACTTTCATTCCATGCTTCCTTTAAACTTAGTTGGCTGCAGTACTTCTTTTTAGCTTCCAGATGTCACTATTAGTAAATTAATTTACAAAAATGAAATGTCAGCAATGTACAGCAAAAATAATCACTGACCTAAATTTTTAAAAAAGGAGACAAATCAGAGATAACTTATATTACTATCACAATGCACTTGTGCCTAGTAAGGTGTGTGTATCAGTCTACCCACTGTCAGCTGCAGAATGTTGCTTTTTGATTGGTTGACATGGGTCCCTCTGTATAACTTTTTTTTTTTGTATAGTTCTAAAAAATTATTCTAGTAATACTGTCTTTGTTTTTAAACCTTCCTATTACAGGTCCACCTGTGTGAGGTTGAGGGTCTGCAAGACTTTCTGGAAATGTCCTCGAGTGACTGCAGCAATCAGCCGGTTCTGGTGGCCGTGAAGATGCTGAGAGCCAATGTTACTAAAACAGCAAGGTGGGAATTTTGTCAATGTCTCTGCCTTAAAGGGTAACTCAGTGGTGTATTTAGGTTTTGTGCTGCCCTAGGCAACACAAAAATTGGTGCCCCTCTCCCCCAGCAGAAAGAGCCTGACATTGACCAAGAGCACCCCTGCCCTCCACCTGAGCCTTCCACTACCACAGCCCCCCCATACACCAGCCACCATCCCCCATGACGAGAAAGAGAGACACTTGCCTTCACAGCTCTGGACATCCCCAGGAACGAGAGTCGGGCTGTGCATACACTGTCATGAAACCTGTAGCATCTCTCAGAACCCAACAGGTCCCCATGCTGTGTGTGTCCCTTCTTCCAATGGGCAGTGCTGCCCCCCTGAAAAATGCCAACCTAGGCAAATGATAAATACACCCCTGGAGTAACTCCACTTTTGTGGGGAAAGAAATTAGCAAAAAATATATATAGTGTATTCAATTGCGAATCAAATAATTTCGTAATTGAATCTTATTAAAACATACTTTTCATTTTCAATATGCAGCAATGTCATTTTCTTTAAATGCAATGCAATAGGGCAACCTGGATGTGTCCTGAACACAGATGGTGTACAGAAAGCCCCCCAGAATGTAATTTCCTACTTGAGTGATTGGCTTACTGATTTCCCCAGAAGTCTGCATTAAGATGTCAGATTTTTGGCATCTCCTGCAGCAAAAATGTAATTTTTGGTGAGACACTGCAAAAAGGGAAATCACTTCTAAAGGGATGCAGACCCTGCCAATTTCCACATTAGATCCCTGCAAAAACCCAGAGGTGGAATGTTTTTTTCTCAACAAAAGTGGAGTTACTCTTTCACATAAAGCCAATATAGTAAGCAGACTATTGCTTTTGTGTCAAAAATTAAAATGGATCTTTCAGGAGATAGTAAAATTAATCAGTTCTTAGCAGAGCACAATTACACACATTAGTGGATTATATAAATGGTCTATGGCAAATGAAAAACCATTACATCTCACTAGCTAGTTAATAACAAGCCAGCCCTAGGATTGAATGTTATTTTATAACAGTAAGCTGCAATACTACTTAAATGCAGTGAAACCCTGATTAACAGTGGAAACCATAATAAAGGTGTATTTGTGTGGCCCCGAGGAAGGTAAAGTGTTTCCTGGCTGGTAGCTGATTGATTTAATTGTACCACTATTATTTTTAGGGTTGTAGTACATTTTGCGGCTACCCAAACTTTTCCCATTTGTTACTTGCAGGGCTCAGTAAGGTTTATGAGGTTGGCTGTCTTGCATTACAAAGCACTTGAATCCATCTCTTGCTAAGATGCTTTGCATTGCATTTAGTAAAACTAAAGGGTATGAATTCCTACTTGGAGGGTTTAGTGTTCCTTAAAAGCTGCATTTGAAATAATAATGTGGGATTTGTTCGAGCTGCACTAAGCATGAGCAAATGCAGGCGGGTTCAATCAACCTTTAAATATCCACATACATTTGAACATCTTAACAAGCCATATGACAGATTGAATGACAGATAAAGTGTTTGTTACCCCAGAATTTCTTATTAATATGTGCTCAGTGTAACATGTACTTGCATTAAAAAGTAGCCTGTTCTCTTTGTATTTCTTCTATTGTGTGAAATACCTAGTGATCCGGCTAGTCCCCCTGCTTTCCTATTTTCAGACTGACCACACTAGGCATGAGAGCACCATCCCAGTGTCTTCAGTTCTTTAGCTGTCTGCCTGTCCTCTAATGATCAAACTTGTTGACAAGCCCCCTGCACAGCCCATTCACTGAAACCCCCATCCTCCCTTGCAGAGCCCCCACCTTAAGCTCTCTAAGCCCATTTTTTCAGATGAGAACTGAGTGCATATGATCATACACACAAAAAATATATGTCTGTATGTCTTGCTGACACTCCCCCAACCCTGCAGAGCCCACCTCCATCTCTCTGAGCCCTTTTTTCAGCTGAGAACAGAGTGCCTATGAACCCCCCCCCCCCCACACACACACAAAAAAAAAATGTGGTGTCTGTATGTGTGTGTGTGTGTATATATATATATATCTCAAGTGTGGACGCACTCAAAAAAGCCTATGAAAAAGGTACCATCTCATGGGGCCCCTTACTGACCCCGGGCCCTCAGGCAGTGCCGAGTTTCCAAATCATCAGTCCGCCCCTGTGTGGACCCTTACATGTAAAGCATCCCATTCCGTTTAAAATATAAATGAAAGGCAAAACATATATATATATATATATATATATAAATGTTTTGCCTTTCATTTATATTTTAAACTGGATGGGATGTTTTAAAGGTAAGGGTTCGCACTTGACCTAAGCTCACCATTGGGAACATTTCCAGCTCCCACTCCTGCAGCCGCAGCCTGATCTGTTGCGTCCCCCTGTGACAGGAGACAGGGATCTTGTCCCTGAACTCACTGTCACTATTTAAAAAAAAAAAGAGGCCACGTGGGACTCCACGTCATTCATTCACAGAGTTCTGTAAATGGGAAAACTACAAGTACCAACGGCTTTTGCGGCTATCTTCTTGTAGTTCTCAATGAATTACCAGGACGCTATAGAGTGTTCTGGTAGTCCATTGATTCTTCTTGTCAATGTGTAGCTTCCTGCCCATTCGAGGTATGAGTAGGCAGCTTGCACTGACAGTCTGCTGGAGTCCTGCAAAAAAGATGTGTTTTTTTTATTATTTTTTTTTTTTTTTTACAAAGGTGAACTTATCCTTTAAACAATCAAAGAATCTGTTAACAGACCCTCTGAGACATTTCTATTTTAACAAAGCTCATTTTTTTCTCCAAATCTCCAGAAATGATTTTCTGAAAGAAATAAAGATCATCTCTAGGTTGAAGCATCCAAACATCATTCGCTTGCTGGGTGTCTGCGTCCGGGATGACCCCTTGTGTATGATAACTGAGTATATGGAGAATGGAGATCTCAACCAATTTCTCTCCCAACGAGAGATCCGCAGTCAGTTCACCACAGCTAACAACATACCATCTGTCAGGTAGGTGGCCTTCCCCCACGCTTTCATGGATCATTCTTGTATTTATGTAATGAGCAGATTTTTTTCTTCAGTTATTACAAATCTGTATTGTAGCAAGTTCAGCTAATAAAAAGGTTAAAATGTTGTTGGTTGAAGGCAGGGGTGCTCAACCTCTTGAAGAGCGAGGGCCACTTAAAGGATTTGGTAACCGATCATGGGCCACAATGAAATGAAATAGTTCATAATTTAGAATTTTGTATTTTAAATTGCATAATGAACATTTTCCTCCTGCAGTCACTTAATGCCAGCAGGAGGGAGAGGAGGAGAAGCCAGATTTCAGGGGTTGCAGGAGGAAATTGGAGAGGATTGGTTCCTGTATATACCGACCCCTCCACCGCCCCTCCTGTCCAAGTGTAAAACAGAATGTGACAGGGAGGCTGCACGGGCCCCCTGGAGCATGGTCAGGGTCACCATTGTGCCCCCTGGCGTTACACTAGTGGTTGGGGGTGTGTGGTAAAAACACATCTCAACTATGGAGTTTTACCACCCCCCCAAACCCCAAATGTAAACTATCCATTAGTGTATTGAGCCCCCTATAAGGCTACTTGCACAACAATTCTCTGCAGTTTACCTGCAACACGGGTTCAATTATATCTTGTGGGTGTGGTGCACTTTCAGAAAGTGCAGCAAAATGCCTGTTTTCAGGCATTGTGGTGCCTGTTTTTAGAAAGCGCACTAAGCCTGCAGGATATATTAGAAGTGCGCTTCCCTGGTTTGAGGTCGAGGGCCACATCAGAGGGCTCGGAGGGCCACATGTTTTGACCCCCCGGGTTTAGGGGAAAGAAATGCAGCACTATGTACCTAAAAGTCTCACTTACATCTGTGCCTAAGGTTGTTTTTTTATTTTGTTGAGAATATGAAAGCTGTTTTTAACTGCCAGGAAGAAGTACTAACAGCTAACTGTAATGCACATCAGATCTTGCACCCACAAGATGATATGATAGGAACTTATCAAGGCCCTGCATTTCCTGTAGGCTTCTAATTTTAGGCTGAAATCAATTTTTTTTACACTTCCTTGATGCTCCAGGATTGTGATGTCCCCTTTTATTTGTAAGCTGGACTTGGTTGCCCAACCAGCTAAATACAAAGGTTAAATAGATTTCTGGGAGCTTTTTTCACCTTCAAATGGATTTGTATTTCTGTCCATCCAGCCTGAAATTTTCACGCCTCTGCTGTATTAATGATTACATAGCTACAATAATTTGTGCTTTATTTTAAACCTCCTTTAAACTGCTGTTGTTCACAAGCATGATTAACTGTCTATTTATTTCAAATACATACAGTATATATCTGACCTTGCCCACATACACATTATACTGTACATGAAAATAACATTGGTGTAACAGTATAAAAAAGAGGTGTAAATTATTATTATTATACAGGATTTACATAGCGCCAACAGTTTGCGCAGCACTTTACAATATAAGGGAGACAGTATATGTCAGGAATGGACTCGCCAATGGTGGTGGGACTCACCTGCCTTGTGGGCTGCAGTACCAAGGCTGGCCAGCGGGTGCTCTCAGCAGCCAGAATCTCACTCCTGCAATCAGGCCATCACCTGAGGCTGATTGCAGGAGGTGTATTTAAGCAGGACCAGGCCTGTGATCAGTGCCTTGGTGTATGTTTCCTGTACCTGCATCCTGTCTGCTTCCTGCCTGATCCTGCCTCTGAACGAACTTCGCCTGTCCTGACCTCGGCTATTCCTGACCACTCTTCCCCTCGCTCCTGGTACCCTGTTTGCCCGTTAGCTACCGACTGCAGGTACAGGGGCTCATGGGAAACATACACCAAGGCACTGATCACAGGTCTGGTCCTGCTTAAATACACCTCCTGCAATCAGCCTCAGGTGATGGCCTGATTGCAGGAGTGAGATTCTGGCTGCTGAGAGCACCCGCTGGCCAGCCTTGGTAGTGCAGCCCACAAGGCAGGTGAGTCCCACCACCATTGGCGAGTCCATTCCTGACAGTACAATTGCAATACATTTCAGTACATAAGGAATATGAGGGCCTTGCTCGTGGAGCTTACAATCTAAAGGAAGGGGGAGGTGATACAAAAGGTGATAGCTGCGGGGGATGATCTGGTGGAGGTGACTCAAATACAGTTCTTAGATGGAGGTGGGGTAGGCTTCCCTGAATAAGTGAGTTTTCAAAGATCGCCTAAAGGCAGACAGCATGGGGGCTGACCACACATACTGTGGTAAGGAGTTCCAGAGCATGGGAGAGGTTCTGGAGAAGTCCTGGAGGCGAGCGTGGGAGGAGGTGATGAGGGTGCTAGAGAGGAATATATCATGGGAGGAGCGGAGTGGGCGATTTGGACGATATCTGTGGATGAGGTTGGTGATGTAGCTAGGGGCAGTGTTGTGGATGGCTTTGTAAGCTGTGGTTAATATTTTGAATTTTATTCGCTGGGTTAGTGGAAGCCAGTGAAGGGACTGGCAGAGAGGAGCAGCAGTCGCTGATCGGTTGGTAAGGTGTATGAGTCTAGCAGCAGCAGTCATAATAGACTGAAGGGGGGTAGCCTCTGTAACGGTAGACCAGTGAGGAGGGAGTTGCAGTAATCAAGGCGGGATAAAACCAAGACGTGGATAAGTTGTTTTGTGGTGTCATTGGTCAGAAAGGGGCAGATTTTGGAAATGTGACGGAGGTTGAGGCAGCAAGATTTAGCCAGTGATTGGATGTGGGGCCCAAAGGAGAGGTCAGAGTCTAGGATAACAAGAGGTTTGTTCTGTCTCTGTCTGCAATCTAAGCATTAAAAGTGTGATCTCTGTAACTTACAGTTGTGACGAGATAGCGATAACTCCAATCTTAGTTGAATAACACAGGCAGTGACTCGATCTAGATGACACCTTGTAGTAGATCTTGTGACGTTTATTCCATAAACTGAGAGAATCTTACAACAACAATGAACATCTGATAGGTCAAAAGATCATAATATGATCTACTTCATGACATGAGGATTGAAGCTGAAATGCATTACTGGGAAAAGGGGTGGGGCTATCTATACAGCATGAACTAAACCAAAGGAAAGGGAAGAGCAGACACAAAATACAAAAAACACTTAAAGGCATATGACAGTCATGTGAAACATGACAAGGTTTGTAAAAGTTATGGTATAATTTGTACTCCAGCTTACTGCCATTGGAACATTGGAGTTTTTGGTACTTATGTGTCAGTGAAAATAACAAAAGTTTTTAAATCCCGGGAAGTGATGTCTTTTCTAGTATGATAACCTCAGACACATTTTAATATTGGAAAACTTGAAATCAATCATTATGAAATAATGTGGTTTTAGCTCCAAATATTGAGTAGAGATTGGAACACTGCATCTTTTTGCACGCCTCTGAGGTTAAAATTTTTTTTTACCTTTTTATTGTCATCTTACAGCCTCCACAACCTCTTATACATGGCCACACAGATTGCTTCTGGAATGAAGTATCTGGCCTCGCTGAACTTTGTACACAGAGACCTGGCCACACGGAACTGCTTAGTAGGAAACAACCACACACTCAAGATAGCAGACTTTGGGATGAGTCGGAACCTATACAGTGGAGACTATTATCGTATCCAGGGCCGAGCGGTGCTCCCGATTCGCTGGATGGCCTGGGAAAGCATTCTCTTAGTAAGTTACACTTTGCTCGGCTATCCTAAGTCCCAATGGATCATTTCTCTTTGATGAACTTGCTGATTTTATCATTTCTCTTTAGGGCAAGTTCACAACCTCCAGTGACGTCTGGGCATTTGGGGTCACACTATGGGAGATGTTTACGCTGTGTAAAGAACAACCATACAGCGTTTTGTCTGATGAGCAGGTGATTGAAAACACAGGGGAGTTTTTCAGAGACCAAGGAAGACAGGTAATGATATAGTATTCTTTAAATAAAATGATTTAATTTATCTCAGCCATATTAGATGTAGCTCTGAAAATGCATTTTGTTGGGACTTGGTTTAGTGGGTTACTGGATACTGGTATCCGGATGTCCAATCTGTAGCGCTACCCGTGAAGGGTAGTTAGACTATTTAACAGCATCCCAACCACATCTGGGCACACCTCTCCAAAGATTGGCTAAGCCCTGCTTAGTTTTCAAGCTCGACTTTTGAATTCTCCCTCCTTAAGCGCTAGATACTTCTTCTAGAGGCAGTTGGAGATAATTAAACTATCAGCCTGTAAAGCCCAGAACAGACCAGATCAAACTACTGCTCCTCTGATTACAAAAGAAGCCATGAACTAAATTTACCTAGCAGCCTTACTAGGAGGATGCTACATGTCCTCTCTGCTCCCACCACTAAAACATTTTCTAAATCTGGCAAATTTTTTTCATAGACCCATCTTCTCAATTTATTAGTGAAAATCTCCAATAAAGTTTTTGCAGCTTTTACATTCTTGTTAATTTAAAAAATTATGATAATGGCAGCAGCCGAGGAGACAGATTTCAGGAAGGTGGATCTTGGAGGGTGAGTGACTCATCAGGATTCTCACAAAATTAAATCCCAGTGAATTGTCATCTTTGGATGAAATTAATTTAAGTAGTAGTGCAATGTGCATTTCATGGAGGAACTTTTTAGCCAATGTTTTAAAAATCTTACAAGTCTTGAATTGGTCATTAAAACAATTAATATGGTAATGTATACCTATTGGAAATAAAGAATTTGTTAGAGAATATATGTTTGATTGCTAGAACTGAACCAATAATTAATAATATATTAAATGTTCTTATTTTAATAGTCCAAAATAAAAAGTAGGATCAAGTGACAAGATGACAATTTGGGTGGGCTGGCAGACAAGAAAATTGTGCTTGAAAGTGTAGAAACCCTTTAAATAAATATCTCTCTTTCATTTATTTCCAATATTATTCATATTACTATTAGCAATTATGTTAGTTATATAACAGTTTGCAGAGTACAGAGAACAATTTGATTCAGATACTATCACCTGAAGGGGCTCACAGCCTACCATCCCTACCACACGCATACACTGTAAAGCCAGTTTAGGGGAGAGCCAGATAAGCTACTGGCATATATATTTAGAATGTATAAATAAAATCTGTATGTGTAGTCTACATATGTATTGCATATACTGTATGTAAATGTTGACCAGATGGAAATAACCTATGATTTTCTTACATTTTACTTTATGGTTGTTAAAGTATATATAGTCACACACTTGTTTTTGTAGTTTTGTATGCAGTCAGAAAGTATCAGAACCCCTGTTAAGTTTTTATTGTTGTCCCTATCCCCTCTATGTAGATCTGTCTTTTCTAATTTTCTTGATTACTATTGTCACTGAGACAGAAAGTGATTAGAAATTGTCACCAGAATCAGAGGTGATGGTAAATCTTTCAGTGTTCTGATGACAATAGTTTAAAAAGATGGTTTTCACTTGTGTCTCACTTGTGTCTACTCTCTCAAAAATTGAAAAAAAAAAAAAAAAGATTTTGGCTATATATACAGTTTAAGGAAAGATTAACTTTAGGAAGTTATGAGAACTATAAGTAGCACACCAATAAGATCACAATATACCATGCTTCTGATATAGTGCCTAGTGCTTTGTATTTATATACATTTTTATTGATTTGTACTCTAGATATATCTCTCCCAGACGCCCCTGTGCCCCACCCCCATCTTTGACCTGATGATGAAATCTGGAGTAGGGACATAAAGGACCGACCTACTTTTGAGGTGATCCACCACTTTCTGATAGAGCAACTGGATGCCATTGTGTAAACTGCCACCGAACAGTCAACCTGGAAGAAGCAGGTTCTCATTGTACCCAACTCATCTGGAGCTATACTGGACAAAGCCTTAGTTTTCTAGATGTAGATGTAGAAGGACCAAGAGACAATGTTCTCCTGTGGCGCCGGTAGACTTCACCGGAAACCTCTGCCTGTTCATGGCTTCTGGCTTCCCCAGCAGTTGATGCAACTGATTTTAGGGTGATGAAGCAAGGCGGTACCTCCCTTGAAGGGGAGAACCCTAGCTGGGATTGAGGACTGGAATTAAGATGTGAGAAGTAGGACAATGTCCCACTAAAGAGTACCACTACATTCTGTGTATGTGTATATAAGTGTATGGGGGGGAGTATGTGTGTCCAAATATCAAGTGAGCATATTAACATTACACAGATCCAGAGGAAATTGTAGTGTATTTATTTTTCCCTGTTTTGTACATAAACTAAGGGATCGGTATATCAGCTTTATAAAACAGAGACAAGAAATCTTATGCGATCAGTACTTCTCTGACTACAATTAGCGGTGATTTAAAGGGTCACTAGTTTTTATTTTCCCTTTGTAGTTGTCTTAACTATAAGGTTACATTTACATTCTCAAAGAACTTTGCTTGTTTCTGTGAAGGTCTTAAGACAACCACATGTAATAGCAATCATTACATACATTTCCAGTGATCCTTTTTTTCATCATTTCTTTATTTCCTCTTTTTGAGTTCTGATAACTTTGCCAGAGTATAGATGCTTGGGGGTGTGGCATAGTAGCCCACCCCTGAGTTTCTAAATAGGGATGACACTATGCAGTCCCTTGTGTATGGCACAAGCAACATTTTTGTTTGTTGTGCCTTAAACTACATTACAAGAATAATTAAAGACTTTAAATAAACAAGCTTTAGGGGAGATATTAACACTCTAAACCTATGTTTATTAAAAGTCAAATGCTATGAAATAGTAATATAACCTAATCGGACCTTAAGTTAAGTTTACTCATAGAACTACTATACACTATACTACTGCCTTTGATTTGCTTTTATTTTAACCCTCTTAATTATCTGGAAGCCCTAAGGACTGTATTTGCTGCAGTTGCTCAAAGGTGGTTACAAACACAATGATATATGGACTATAATTATTATTTAATAACTTGGTAAAAAGACTCATATGTGTGAAATGCTACACTGGCTCGTCAGATATCAGCTTTCATATTTAGCCCAAAACAGACTGCACAAAGCTGACATGCCATTGGCAGGCATTATTTTCCACATACCTGAACTGTTACCATGTTATTGAATGATTTAAAAAAAATATATTTTCATATGCCTTTTACTTTTCTAGGATGTCTCTGTTGTATAGGAGAGATAAGAAAAAGTTTTCTGTGTCATACATTTATGTTAAATCTCTTAAATGCACTCTTACTGTACAGAAAACATAGTTGTTAGATTTATTCCTTCACTTTATTTCATATTAATTGTAGTGGAACAGTTTCCCATTCTAATGCAGAACATTGCACAGGTCTCTTTGTGTAAGGCAGTGTGATTCCATGCATTGATTTAGGACCCAGGTGTCATTGTACTGATCCCACTTGTGAGTGTATCATTGTTCTAGGATATTAAGTGTCTGTGTGTTACAATTATGGGAAAGCAGTGTGCCATTGTACCCCAGGTGTCAGTATATAATTGTTCTGGTGTGAGTGTGTTATTGTACACAAACCCCAAGCATCATTGTGTAGTATTTCTTGGACCCCGAATGTCAGTGTACCCTTGTGAAGGGGCCATGAGTGTCTGTGTGCCATTGTACAGAGACCCTAAGTGTGTCAATGTACATAGACCCAAAAGTGACAGTCATTGTGCTTGGTTTCCAGTGTCAGTTTATCATTATTTGTGGACACTAACTGTAACATAGTTGTTGGATCCAAAATGTCATCATGGCATTGTTCTAGAACCCTAAGTGTTGATGTATCATTGTAACAGTAGCCCAAGTGTCATTCTACCACTGTAGGACCCTGAATATTAGTGTTCCATCCTTCCAAGATCCCACATGTGCCATTGTACGGAGATCCAAAATGTCAGCATGCCATTGTACAAGAACCCCAAGTGTCAGTTTGACCTGTTACAAGGATCCCATGTGTCATTGTCCAGGAACCCCAAGTATCAATGTGCCTTTGAACAGGGTCCCCAAGCATCAGTGTCCAATGTACAGGGGCTCCAAGTGTCAGTGTGTCATTGTAAAAGATCTCTGAATGCCAGTGTGCCATTGTACAGGGGATCCAAATGTCAGTGTGGCATTGTCCAGGAATTCTCAAGTGTCAGAGTCTAACACAGTTGTTCAATAAAACATGTCAGCATGGCATTGCTCTAGAGGTGTAGGTGTCAATGTAAGATTGTCCTGCTAGCTGAAGTCAAAGCGTGCCACTATCCTTTGACCCTAAATATTGGTATGATACTGTTTTGGAATACCCAAATTTCAGTGTGTCATTGTTTGGAGACCCTCAGTTGCTCATGTGTTATTTTTCTGTTTTATGTCTCTGGGTGCCATTGTTGTGGGATCCCAAGTGTCATTTTCTATTGCTTTGTTTTCCAACTGTAAGTGTCAGTGTACAAATGATTGTTTTGAAGAACAACAGTCAGTCTGCTATGGCTCTTGGTTTACTAGGGTCAATGTATTGTTTTCTGGAACCCCAGGTGTTAGTCTGTCAGATTTGTTGTACCCAAGATATAAATGATTGATTGTCCTGGAATTTTAAGCATCATTGTATTGCAATTTATGTGCAGGTATGCCATTTCTCCAATAGGAGATATACAACAATCAAAATACAACCAATAATAGTACCTGAAAACAAATGTAAAGACCCTAATTAACCTTTGCTTTAAATAACAAAGGACATGTTCCTTTACTGTTTACTTGAGTGTGTATGACTGAATGTGTTCAATGTGTCTTGTGATACTAAGGACCAAAAGGTGGGCGCACTTGACAAGATCCTTTAGGGGATCAGTTTGTATGGTCAAGAGAAATGTAAAAATGTTTATGTGAATTGTGTGTGTAGTCCATATAGCCACATGAAATTGATTACTATTTTATTTAACACATTGGTTTTTGCAAGGCATTACACGCAATCAATGACACCATTCGGGTGGCATAAGAGTATCTTTC